TACCTGGGCCAATTCCTGCTGCAACTTGATAACAGTCTCCTGAGACCTATGATCGAAACTCCTACGCTGGGTTTCCAGTCCGGTTCTGATTTGTTGCAGCTCCGCCCGCAACACATCCCTCTCCTGTTCCATGGTCTTCCAGTCCAGCTGATCTCTTTCTATCCTCTCATGCATTCTCGCCAACTCAGTGGCCATCCTCTCGAACTCAATTTTGGTAGCCTCGTTAGTCTGCAGAGCATTAGCCAAGTGCTGCTGCGATTTCTCTAGCTCCTGAGCAAGTCTTCCAGCTTCCATCTCTGTGGCATCACGAGCTTGGATTGCCTTTTCCAGTTTTTCTTTCAGACGTTCAATTTCCACCCGTTCCTCGTTTCTCACTTTATCAGCTGCCATGGTTTGCCTACGTTCCACTTGGCCGAATTCTGATCTCAGTCTTTCATTGTCTTTTTCCAGTTTTTCTGTATGGATCTTCAGTTTTTCGTATCTGTCTCGAAGTTTCTCGCACTCAATAACTGCTCGTTCAAGTTCGTGGCGTTGCTTTTCTTGACTACCAGATACTTTGGCCACTTCTTGTCTGGCCAAGTCCAGTTGGATTGTTATTTCGTGAACTTTACTCTCCAGCTGTTGATTATCGCCTAGAGTTTTTTGCACATCGTTCCTGAGTCTTTCGATTTCAGCGTTCTTTTCTTTTTCTTGCTCAAAACTGATGTATTTGCCACGAGTGCTTTCAACTAGAGCTAGTTCCTTTCTGGAACGATCTAAATCTCCTAGAGTTTTGTCCAAGCGCTCTCTTAGTCTAAAATGGAAAAGATGATTATTGAAGTTAAAATATAATCTGGATATCACACATGTTTTAATGTTTTAGATTCGCAAGTACAATTTCAGATTGCATTTCAAACTTTCATTGATTTATTGATAAAAATGACGCCAAGATGGCGAACCGGCATATCGGATTTAGAGTCATGTTATTTTCCGAATTATTTTCAGCAAGCCCTCTTATTTGATACTCATATCATTAGAGTGCATAAGAAATATTTTGCTATCTTGTGTGTTCTGCCATATTGGGCGATTTGCCTTATTGGCATATTTATTGATATACTCAGACCTATAATGGACCTACTTTGTATTTTCGCAGAGTGACACCACTCCAGCAGACTCAACAATACATCAGTGGTATGAAAAGTAACTGTGCTGGATCTGACAACATTTCTCTCATTATGTTAAAGTATATTGAAAATTATCTCATCAACCACATCACACACATATTCAATTCCTCTATAGAAACAAATCATTCTCCTTCTGCATGGAAACATGCAATTGCCAAAATGCCAATTTGCCAAAATGTGAAAATCCAACTGAATTATCTCATTTGAGGCCAATTAGCAAACTGCTGATCCTATCTAAGGTGTTCGAGTGGATTCTAAAAGATCAAATTGATTCTTTTGTATACAATAATAATTTAATAACAAATGTTCAATCTGGATTTCGTACATTCTATAGCACCACCACCGCTTTTGTCAACATCACCCAAGATTTATTCAAAGCAACTGATGATGATGGAGTAACTGCCATGGTACTCTTGGACTACAGTAAAGCATTCGATACAGTAGACCACAATATTCTGTGTGGGAAAATGTCATTTCTCGGATTTAGTGAAGGGACTGTAAATCTATTGAAAAGTTACCACAGAAATCGGACTCAGTCAGTATGTCTGGATGGAAAGTGTTCTAGTGCTTTACCTGTTGATTATGGAGTACCTCAGGGCTCTATACTTGGCCCAATTATGTTCTCTCTATATATATCTGACTTCCATAAAATGATTGATCATTGCACATTTCATCATTATGCAAATGACACCCAGTTATATTATCGATTTCCTCCAAGTAACTGGCAGGTGGCAATGGAAAAAATTAACAGTGATCTACAAAAGTAACTGGATCTATCTATAGCCCATAACCTGAAATTGAATTCTGAAAAATCTCAGATGATACTTTTTGGCCCGAAACACAAAAGACGGATATTGAAGGAAGAATTGAAATACAACTTGAACAAGACTTACTACAAACAATTACAGAAAGCAAGAACTTGGGTTTATGGCTAGACGCTGATCTGAGATTTCACAAACATATAAATTCACTTTGTCGTAGCTCATACAGTATCTTACGTCAACTCTATCAAAGTAGAGATATTATGACTTCCAAATTGAAGTTGAAACTTTGCGAAACCCCTCATATTGTCTGGATTATCATATTGCTAATTAATCTACGGGCCTGCTTTGATACAAACTGATGTGAATCGCTTACAAAAAATACAAAACAATTGCATTCGTCTTTCTTATGGTGTGAGGAGTCAAGTTAGTTACCGATTGCTGAGACCTGGCAGTTCCACCTACTCGTCAATACACATAAATTCCTCATTTACAAAAAGCCAAATTATATTCATGAAAGATATAAAATTTCAAATCACAGAATATTTTTTTTAATTAAAGTAAATGCTTAAAAACTAAAGCGATGGTAATTCAGAATTCTGATACTCAGTATCCTAACAACTTATCATTGGAAAGAAGGAAATAGCATTCGTCAAGCTCAAAGAACGGTCAAGTTTGATTCCTAACTTTAACTTGTCAACAGCAAATTATGGGCCAAGTAACGAAGAAACGGAGATCTAAGAGGAAGGATGAGAGATATTATCAGAGATAATTTCTTTCGTAGGAGAAGTACACAAAAATTGTATGTGTTTGAAGAAAAATATAACTCAAGGATGAAATAAAAGACTTCAGGTGACTTGAGACAACAGCTTCACCAGAGCACAAAATTATTATGGCGTTTTGGACAAAAAAATCATTCTCGTGGATTGATATAAATGTTCAGTAATGTAAAAAAATCATCAGAAAACCTAAGAAAAAATTTTCACGGCATCCACTCTGATCAAGTGTTGATAGTGACAATAGTTTTCTGATCATTCAATAAAACTTTTCAAATTATCTATCATATCTTTCGCTGAATTATTTGTTCTGATTATTCAGTTTCATCAGAAAAGTAACTCGTTTGTCGAAAAGCAAAAGTCCAGAATTCAATGTATGGTCCACACCTCTGACTAATGTCTCTTTTGATAAAGCATCATTGAACACGTACCTATCAATCTCAGCCCGCAATCTCTCATTATCGTCTTTAGACCTTTCATCCCTGTCATATTTGGAATACCTCTCCCTACCAGAAGAGGGAGTTGACTCTCGCAAAGCATCATACTCAGCAACAATCTTTCTGAACTCGTTCTGAAGCTTATCGTGCTTGTCACGAGCTTTCTCCACCTCTACTTGCAGTCTGGCGCTTTCCTCTTGGCTCTTCTCGTAGCTTGCTTGGACTTTAGCGAGCTGGCCGTGAGTTCTCTCGACTTCGTATTGCAATCTTTCGTTGTCGGAAAGCAGTTTTTCTTTTTCGCTTTGAACTCTTCGAATTTCTATTTGAGCTTTTTCGTAACGGTCTCGGACCATCTCCATGTCGATGCCTAGGCGTTCAATTTCTTCTTTTGATTTTTCTTCAAGCTCCTTGGATCTGAAAGATTTATACTTTGAATGATTCATGTGATAATATAATGAAAAAACATTGCAAGCTTTGTTATCATCACATGTAAAAGACCAAAATCTAAAAAGAAATTAGACTAGAAAAGTGAATTCTGAGATTTAACTGGATTCGAATCAACAGAACTAGTAGTGGAAGTGACAGTTTAATTGAATGAATGAAGTATATGAGGAATACTATAGTGATAGTTCAAAGGGAATAAATGGAGAAAGGAAGGAAATTGATATTCATTTAAACTTCAAATATTCATAATATTCATTTAAACAAAAAACCAGAGAGACAAAAAAAAGGGGAGGATCAATATCTAAAGAACAGGAATCAAAAATCATGATGAGAGCATGATTGGATTCCTCGATCCATTTACACTTCTCAGTAGAGAACAGAGAAATACGAAAACAAATGAGTAGAATATGGAAAGAAAAAAAGAACTAGCCTGACCTGAAGATAGACGACTAGGAAATTGTAAGAGCCGGGCTACTCCACTGGAACTGTTAAGTAACATACTTGATACATATCTCGAAATCAACATACTGTTCTGAAAAAATAATCGATTAATCAAGTAATTAGTTGAATATTCATTAAAGGAAATAACTTTTGCCTAATTCCTACTAAGTTATTTTCTTTAGTCTATATTCATTATGAATTTCTACGAGATAAATTGGTCATTAGTTGAACAAGGAAGTAATCTCTTCAGTAGAATGGATAACTATCTTGTATAACTACTTTTATTCTATTTATTGCTGACTTCTTAATTTTTGACATCAACTCCCAGTCCTCCTCTGAAAAATCTCACCTCAGCACATTAAAAATGGATAATTGAAGATCCAAACAATCAGGATTTTAGGATACACATACTTTAATCACATAAATGTACATTTTTTTCATAGTGGTTATTTGAAAATAGTTACCTTCCAAGTTGCATGGCAACTCTATCGTACATTTCCTGGATCCTCGTCAACTCGTCTTGAAGTTTTCGTTGATCTTCACGGAGTTTTGTTGACAGAAGTTGTTGCTTCTCTACTTCCAGTTCAAATCTCTCCTTGTCAGCTATTACAGTGTCCAGTTTATTCTGAAGCCTATAGACATCACTTTGTGATCTAAAACAGACATTGAGAGCTTTTTATCAATATGTATACTCCTTTGATATTCTTCTAATGTAGATGAATAATCCAGAGTTACTAAGTAAAAGTATTCGCTACAAATTTTCTGACTAGTAGCTTTTTATCAATATGTATACTCCTTTGATATTCTTCTAATGTAGATAAATAATCCAGAGTTACTAACTAAAAGTATTCGCTACAAATGTTCTGACTGGTTTGATTTTGTGTCCAAGGAATACACGTTCTGATGAAACAATAAAGCAAGTTGCCCGAAGCTATAAATCTTTTTTGATTTTAATCATGAAAAAAGTTCATTTATATCAAATTTAGAAGAAAATTTGATGTTGTTGCCATTTGTTATTTTTTTAGAGAACACTCATGTACTCTGAGAGAGGTAGATTTGTATTACACCTGAAATGCAAATACGTTTTGGGAATGAAGTAGTATTAATTATAGATGATGAAGTTTTGTTCACACAACTACAAGCTAAACCTGTTGAAAAATTATACAACTCTCAGTTCAATATATATTTAGGTTGTTGTAAATGTTCATACGTTTTCATGAATCTATTTCAAACTGTAATATATCGATGAATACTTATTCTATTTGATCGGAATAAGAGTCATTTGCTTGAGTGTACTGTTTCTAACACAAGTATATTTATTCCATCAGCATGAAAATTTGGTATTCGACGAAGTTGAATTGGCCATTGGCGAACGTTTTACTGGTGAGGAAGTTATCAAAGTGCTTGAAAAGATGGTGGTCGATTGGCGAAAGATCTGTGGAGTATGGTGGCTTATGTCGAACTTCTATGCTATATTCATTTATTTTTGGACGGTGATTTGTGAAACGTCCGGATGGACGTTATCATTACTTTTTGTTGACTCCCTCACAATTGGACTCTGCTGTGATACTTTGTCCCGGTTGAAGGAAGTTTTGGTGAATCTCACCAGCGGCTGACCACTGTGATCTTTTTGGTGAGTTTTCGCCTTTGAGAAGTTCATCGATATCTAACCACTGTTCTGCTGTCGTAAAAAATTCACTTTCCATCACATGTGAGAATCCCATCCAAAAAAGGGTTGTTTCGGTTGCGCAGAAGCAAAGAAAAACATATTTCGAAACGTGACAATTTCTGTCGATAGTTCAGATAGTGGAGCACCCACTTTTTGAGCTCATCACCCTTTCCAATACGTTTAAAACCTTTATAAACCATATTGGAACCAACGCCCATTTCTTTCCCCAGCCGCTGACCACTGTGATCTTTTTGGTGAGTTTTCGCCTTTGGGAAGTGCCTGGGTAGCTCATCGATATCTAACAACTGTTCTGTTGTCGTAAAAAAATCCCTTTTCATCACATGTAAGAATCCCATCCAGAAAAGGGTTGTTTCGGTTGCGCAGAAGCGAAGAAGAACATATTTCAAAACGTGACAATTTCTGTCGATAGTTCAGATCGTGGAGCACCCACTTTTTGAGCTCATTACCGTTTCCAATACGTTTAAAACCTTTATAAACCATATTGGAGCCAACGCCCAGTTCTTCCCCTAGACCAAGCACCGTTTGTAATGGGTCAGTCGCCACCAGAGTCTTCAAAACCTAATTCTGGATCACTATAGATCGAACACTGCGGGGCTCATCTTCGAAGTTGAAATCTTCGGAATTAAATTTCGCAAACAAACCTCAAACATGTCGATAGTTCAGATAATGGAGCACCCACTTTTTGAGCTCATCACCCTTTCCAATACGTTTAAAACCTTTATAAACCATATTGGAGCCAACGCCCATTTCTTTCCCCAGCCAGCCGCTGACCACTGTGATCTTTTTGGTGAGTTTTCGCCTTTGGAAAGTGCTTGGGTAGCTCATCGATATCTAACCACTGTTCTGTTGTCGTAAAAAATTCAATTTTCATCACATGTAAGAATCCCATCCAAAAAAGGATTGTTTCGGTTGCGCAGAAGCAAAGAACATATTTCGAAACGTGACAATTTCTGTCGATAGTTCAGATCGTGGAGCACCCATTTTTTGAGCTCATTACCCTTTTCAGTATACGTTTAAAACCTTTATAAACCATATTGGAGCCAACGCCCAGTTCTTCCCCTAGACTAAGCACCGTTTGTAATGGGTCAGTCGCCACCAGAGTCTTCGAAACCTAATTCTGGATCACTATAGATCGAACACTGCGGGGCTCATCTTCGAAGTTGAAATCTTCGGAATTAAATTTCGCAAACAAACCTCAAACAGTGCGTTCATCGACACTATCGTTGCTGAATTCCTGATTGATTTTTCGGGCTGTTTTGACAGCGCTTTGGTTTAATTTGGAATCGTAGAGAAAACCTCTCTTAAAATCGCTCAACAACATCATATAATAATAAGCAGAGAGGAGTCGAAAATTTTCAAGTTGGAAAAAATCAACTGTATCAGTGTATAGAGTATAAAAATCTCTATCGATCAGTAAAAACCACGATGTATTAGACTAAATATTTATTAGGATATAATAATAAGGTTTATTTGGATAAAATTCAACATTAAATCTTATAAACTATGTAAAACACATAAACAGGAGATAAACCGCAAAGCCATTGGCTGTCCGCGGTGAGGGTGGTTTATTATTAGTTATTTCTTCCTTAAATATTTTAAATTCAAATTATGTAATACAATGTAGGTTGCTAGGTTGTAGGTTGTAGCTACAAAAACCCTTACCTGTCGTACTTCTCAATCAACTTCTCGAAATCGATGTGAATATTTTCTCTATCATCGATGGCCTTCTGAGAAGCATATATTGCTTTTTCAAGCTTCTCCTTGAGAATATCAACCTCCGACAAGGCATCATCTCGTTCGATTTGAAGCTTCTGCTGCAAAGAATGCGATTTTTCCCATCTATCTTTGAGAACGTCCAGCTCGGTTTCAATGTCTGCTCTTTCCCTCTGAACTTTGGAAATCTGGCTGAGCTGCATTTCGACTCTCTCTTTGAGTTTTTCGCATTCGTCTTGGAAGCTATCTCTCTCTTTTTGGATTCTGGATATAGCATTCTGTAAAACCGCAACGATTATTAATTTCAATGATTAAGATCACTAAATGAATTTATTGCAATAGTATTTCTGCTATCAACAGAAATTATCACTTTGACATCTACTTCATACTCAAACCAGACTTCCATATACTAACTGTTATAGATCACCTATAGTTCTTTATGTAAATATCCAAGTATTCGTATCGATAGCAAGAATATCTAACCTGTGATTTTTCGACTTTGTCCCTAAGTCGATCTGCTTCTGATTGGACCGATTCTTTTTCTTTCTGAAGACGAGCAGATTGGCCGAGAACCTTGTCCAATTGCGACTGGATGTTCTCTAAATCGTACATCACTTTTTCTTTCTCCAATTGTATCTGATGAAAAAAACAGAAAAAATTCAATGAAAAACTAGTATATTTTTGGAGTATATTGAGTATATCTGTAAACTCAAGATGTGATATGTAATTTTCAAATAAAATAAGACTAAAAGTTGAGAACAATAGGCATTGGGTCTACGTTGAGATTTAGATATTTTGATGCATAGTTCAACCTTTTGGAAGTCTTTTGGAAGTAATGATAAGTTTGTGAGGGATATATTTTGCATAACCTTCACTGTTTTGCTGTTGTCACCAACTTCTTCCCATTTATTTATATTTATAGCTAAACGAACCAGACTCATCAAAAAATGATACATTATAATTCAGCATTCGTATTTGAATGTAGTTTTTTCTTATGATTCATAGAAACTAGTTATGGATGATACGAAGACTATTCAAGAAATTATAATACAAATGTTCTTCAGAAAAAAATTATTCATGCTTTCAAATTTCAATTCGATAGCACTTCCCATAAGTTCTGAAACTTTTTGAACTTTAGTACTAGAGTATTTTAGTAAGGTGTATTCCAAACCTTGATGATCTTTCGTCAATTTTATAATTCAATTCCCTGAGAGAATATTTGAATAAAGATAGAACCAGATGTTACGAAAAGCCAAGATGTTACGAGAAGCCAAATCTGTATTGATACTGTGTTCAAGTATATATCAATGTTCAAGAAATCCATCTATGTAATAACTATTGTTAATATGATGCTGTGAAATTTGGTGTCTGGGTTGTTTCTCATTGAAAACTTGATGCAACTTNTCAATGTTCAAGAAATCCATCTATGTAATAACTATTGTTAATATGATGCTGTGAAATTTGGTGTCTGGGTTGTTTCTCATTGAAAACTTGCAACTTAATCCCGTTTCTATTCATATTTGTGTTTACTCACTATTCGACACGTGATCATGGGTGACACATATGTGCAAATACCGAGACGTGCGGCAAGCTCCCTAAAAGTAAGATGTGGTTATTAATAGGAGTTAATAACCTTTTGTTTTGTATATAAGTGAAAGATTTCGTTTCTAAATAACTTTATTTTTTGCTGGATGTATCGTCATAAACAAGATATTATGGAGTAATACTACTATTATTATTATTTTTCGAGTTTTTATAGTCATTTGTTACTATTGTCACTCTTTTTCTGAGATTTCTAGTAACCATATATTGTTGAAGATTAACAACTTTTTTACTTCGATAACCATCAACTCGTTAATGTTTTATAATGGCCGCAACTATTGATCTCATATGTTATGCAAGGGCAATTGAAAATGAAAAAGGCACATCAAAGTCCTTCAATATGACTATATCCATGTGTTCCATAGGTCTATTTTGTGTATAAGGATCTTGTCGGTCGATAGCCGGTCGGTTCGACGTGGGTGCATTGTTCACTCACTCAAATCGATCGCCGTGTTGATCGATGGTTCAAGCCGCAGGCTGAACATTCGATTTCCACTTGCTATCGTCCAACCCGTGTTAGGAATCCCACGTTCGAAGGTGAGACCTCGTTAATCCTTAATCCGCACAGGGTTAGACATCTGAGGGTTGTCTTCCATAGGCTTGCGACGGCTGGTTAACGAAAAAACATACTTCAATGGCGAGTAAGTAAATGAATTGCACAAGTCGACAAACGTATCATGTGTGATGTCTGCGAAAGCAAAAAGTCTGCAGACTCATGTAAATGTTTAAATATGGTATATATACGAGACTACGTGAAACTGCAAATCAGTTTGAATTACAACGCAAAATAGTTCGCAAGCGAAGAAAGCGACAGTGAAATAGTGGAGTGAGACAATTACAAATTGTGATTGGAGTACAGTATTCAGTTGTAATTTTGATTTTAAGATTCAAGTTGACTAATTATTGTTACATTGGCAACAATAACTACTGGTTACAACTAGTTTTTAACTAGTTGTAACCAGTTCGTAACTTCCAGGGTCAGATTTCAGAAAATATTGTTGGGGACTCTTGTAAAAATTCAATCACCTATTCTGTTTTTAAGACGATTAGTAGACGAATACCCATAAACTCTATTTGAGTAACATAAGAAGTCATACATTTCCTTAATTTTTTTTTTTTAATCTTATGTCATCAAATTATGTTAGAACCTTTTCTATTAGCTATCACTCACCCTTCTGGTCTCGCCAAGTGACTTGTCTAACTTTTCTTGCAGCTTGTCGACCTCGGTCTGTGCTTTGTCTAGAGCGTTCTGTAGTTTGTCTTGTTGCTGTTGAGCCTTTCCCAAGGTCGCCGACGTACGCTCCAGTTCTTCTTGAGCCTTCTCCAGCTCCGCGTACGCCCGGTCCTTGTCCGAATGCAGCTTGGCCGTGGCGGACTGGTGTCTCTCCAGTTCCTCCCGAAGGCTGTCTTGTTCTTGGTGAGAGTTTTCTAGTCGGGCCTTCAAGATAATAATTGTGAAAATGGTATGAAAATCTGCATTTATTTCAAGTTAGGGAACATCTATCCGATAAAAAAAATTCTNAACAAAATACAATGAACATAAGAAAGCAATATGTCATGATCAACTTTATCTAAAGCTTTCGAGAAATATGTATGAATCGTATCAAGTTGCTGTTCATTTTCAAAAGATTTGTAAACATAATTGGTGAATAGAAATAAATTTGTATTTATAGATTTTCTATCAACAAAACCATATTGCCACTCATCAACAGAATTTTGAGCATGAAAATAAATTTTGTTATATAGGATTTGCTCAAGCAATTTTGGCAGTGCGAATATTATGGAAATTCTCCTATAATTAGTGATATCGTTTTTGTCCTCGATTTGTAAATGGGTACACATACGGTGGAATCAAACATGCCAAGTCACTTGAACACCTCCCGTGAAAGAATCTGTAAAAGAGCGACAAATGTCCAAACTTTCTTCGATGTTCCACACTATCAAGGTTGCAAGTGATGCTTGTATTTTCAATCAGGCGAATGACAGTTTTCTGGATGGAATCCAGTAGCTTCAGGGTATGCTTAATCTATGAGAACAATACTCCAAAGAAGGTCTAATCTGAGCTTTATAAAACATCGAATGTTGCTGAGATCATTTCGAGAGAGATTCCTATATTCCAAAAAAAAAATTCGAATGTATACAGGTGAGGTTATGTAGAGAAAATCGAAACCCTTTCATCAGAATATATGACTTCGGCCTTGAAATTCTACAGCAGATTCTCCAACGAAAGCTTTGTAGAAGAAAGAAAAATGATATTTGATGATAATTCGAAGAGAAAAGGCAGTATAGGAAAAAAGGGTTTTTTAACCAGCTAATATTATGGTAAGAATTCAGTGACATCATATGTCAGTAGTTTTGGAAGTATATCCTGGCATCCATCAGTTGAGGTTTCTTATGATCATAAGGAAAACGTAATTTTTCATACGATGAGAAATATACATGGTTCGAGATGAATCCAATGAAGTAGAGAAAAGACATGCTTCTAAATCGAAGCATCAGAAAATACATTGATTTTTGGTCAAAAAATAACCAGAAGTTGGTGTTGACATCACATCTTGGTATTGCGCAGGATACAATCAAACAAAAGTTTGGTCACCAGTACAAACTATAAGATCAGACTCTGAGGGGCCAGACCCATCGACATAAGACAAGATAAAGTCAGAAGATAGTCATTTGGAGCTGGTTCAACACTGACTCAATGATTTGCATCGAGCCAAATTTTTCACAATGATCATGGCTTACTGAGTTCGGTGAGATTTTTTATTTCTCTGCGATGGCCTATTGCTTCGCAAGTGAAAAGGCCCGGACGAGGTATAGCGTGTACGAATTCAATTCGAATGACATAAAAACAAAACAGTAACCGAACGACGGCAGTTACTTTGTATGGCATGGGTGGTGTGGAAATTCATACGAGGTCTTATCATTATTTTCACGTGGAAAGTTTTATATGATATAAATTAGTAAATTTATCAGACCCGGTACATTAGTCTTTCATTTAGCTGTTCGAATTAACTTCTAGCATATCAAAGATATGCTAGAACTCCATATATGTTGAATAGAAGAACATTCTGGTATCAACAGGACCCTGACTTGAGTTCGATAAAGGTATAACTGTGATAACTATGGCCGTAATATAAATAATTGAACGTGAACAAACAAGAGCGTTCGAAAATGAAATAAATACAAGAGCATTGACCGAAGAGTCAATTTGAATTAGTCAGCTAAACAATTCAAAAAATAATTTGAAAGCGAGAAAAGCAATAATGAAATTTTATTGTGTAATAAGTGAATTGAAGTATAGTGATCAGTTGTGATTTGGAATCAATAAATGGGGTTTTTGAATTTGAATAGGTATACTAGTTATTTATTTTTCAAGAACTCACGCACCCCACCATTCACTGGTAAGAATCTGTTCTACTCAGTTATTCAAGGAAATAAATAGTACCACCAATGAAATTTTATTGTGTAATAAGTGAATTGAAGTATAGTGATCAGTTGTGATTTGGAATCAATAAATGGGGTTTTTGAATTTGAATAGGTATACTAGTTATTTATTTTTCAAGAACCCACGCACCCCACCATTCACTGGTAAGAATCTGTTCTACTCAGTTATTCAAGGAAATAAATAGTACCACCAATCAATTTACTCACCTTGAGGCGGTATACTTCCCCCTGAGACTTTTCTAATTTCTCTTGAAGGGAAGTTGCTTCTTGACGTGCTCTTTCGCTGTCAGCTTGAGTAACTCTGAGCTCAGCTTGGCATCTTCTGAGATCGGAGGAGCTCTTATCAGCTCGTTCTTGCATTCTGTAAATAATTGCGTGGAAAAAAGGCATTTTTTCAGTGATTTAATGAAAAGAAACAAATAATTCAAGTGCTTGTTTTCATTTCATTATCATTGTTAGACAATTTGAAAATAGACTTCATACTGAAACAGGAAGCAGGTGTGATTTTTTTCAGGAATAACTACATAAAATCGAAATTGATTGTTTTTTTCCAATTCCACTACACAAGAAAGCTTTTAGTGAACCAATATGGTGAATTTGGCAGAAAGGGTTTGTCACCAAAAAGTAAGGAATTTGGAGTTCGAAAAATAAATTTCACTGAAGAAAATAGCTACTATGACCACTAGGTGGAACGGTGTTTCAAGCCGAGAGGTCAGAAGATCGATTTTCAGTGCTTATTGTTCAACCCGTGCTAGGAATCACACGTTAGATGGTAAGACCTCGATAATCCTAAGCTCGCACAAAAGTTTGTCATTCGTGGAAAGGTGACAGCAGGTTAACGGAAAGATTGATTTCGAAAGGAATAGTGATAATATAGATAATATTATTCATTTCAAAACAATCACTTTTCCCAATCACCAAAAATGCCATACTCTTCTCGACGCGCGTTTCACCAACCAAATTGACGTCTTCAGGAGATGTAGAAAACTGAAGACGCCAACTTGTACGCCAACAGTATTGCATTTCTGGTGATTGAGAAGAGTGCCAGAGGTTTCTGTCTTTCCTTTCATCTATTATGGGTTTCGAAATTTTTTCACTACAAATTAGGACTTTGCACTCGTACATTTCATTCAGAAAAAATATCGAGGCATTTTGGAGTTGCACAGTGCAAAAGTGTAGAAAAGTGTGTACTGTCCTGAATTGTATAGTTTGTCTCGAACACAGAGTATCAAATCCTAAAGAATAAGTGATGCATAAGATGAAACAATTCCATGATATGAAATTAGGTGTGACATTTTGTATTTGGGAAGTACATATGATGTATTCACTAGTAGGTTGTAGATTAATACACCAAATGCTCATTCTCTTGCCATTGCTGAATATCTGAAAGGTTTATTTGCGAGACTAGATATTCCAATTACATTGATTTCTGATGGCGACCCTCTGTTCAATTCAAGTTACTTTCGAGGAGTTTCTGAAAAGTGGGTCTTCAATTACATCATGTCCAGCTCTCGATACCCTCAGTAAACCGGGATGGTGGACAGAGGGAAGCAAACTTTGAAAAAATGTTACTGAAAGCAATGGAAGATAGGAAGTAGATAGAGTTGGTTTTGTTAATATATATAAACACTTCCATGGGAAACGGCATTTCACAATCTCGGCTAATGATGTCTCGTAATTTACGAGATATTCTACTGAGCACTAAGATGTGAAACCACAAAATATCAAATACAGAAGACAATATTATGATTGTTCTTGTTAATATTTGAAACAGATATCAAACTCATTCGGGATCGAAATGGTCATGGTAGAAAAAAATGATGAAACGAATATCATCCGAAATTCAAGATTCATTCAAACTTTGGCAAATCAAAATGATCTACCACCTGAAAATAATGATGTCGATATGACTGATCAATATGAGTTTGAACTTTCATCTTTATCGGATAACAGTAGTTACTGCTGCACTAATCCTGACGCAACATCATCTGGTAGATCTGTTGAAAAAATTGACAAACTAGTGTAGTATTAAAAAAAGACGAGATGTCACGTATATTGTATTACTCATTCTCAGTCGATTGATATTATAGCCCATGTAAAGTTTGTCGCCCACTTGTCCGACACAGCACAGCACAGCCCGTCCCGTCAGAATACGGATAGGATTGGAACAATAAAAATGAATGGACAACCGCCCACTAGCCCGGCACAGCCCAACCAAGAGTGTCCGCCGCCGGAAAGGATTATAGCTCTCCGATCCTGTCCGGCAAATAACGGTACGTAATGTGACGGACTGGCCAAGTGAGCGCGTCGCCAGCCAGCCTTTCTCAACATCAACTTGTCCAAACGTGCCTGGGAAGTTTCTGTCTCTCTGTTTCTATTCTGAAAATTTGCCTGGAGTCATTCGGAAATACTGGAAAAATTTCTCCCCGTCTTCTTTCAGACCGTTGAAAAGATGATGTAATTCTCCCAGATTTGCCCTTCTGATTAATGGAATGAACCCACAACAATATTTTTTGTGACTATTTTGTTCTACATTCAATAATGCGGCCACTATAATGACGACTTCTTCGAAGAACTGCTAGTGATAGACATGTTCCTGTCATCGCTCGATGTCAACTGAAATTCCCTTGGAATCGAACAAACATCACCTTCAGTATGCTAGTTGTAGCTGGACAAGTGGGCGATGCTACTACCCTTCGTCATCAGGCGACGGACAGCGCCGTGCTGTGCTGTGCCAACTAGGCGACAAGCTTAAATGTATTAAACCGTAACAGCATTGTCGGTAGCAAGAAATAGTTGTTCACCGTTTTTATGTATATTCGACTAGAGAACTGTAAATGATTATTAAAACATAAAACAACATTGTTCATCTCTTCTGGCAACGTTGATAACATTTGAATTTTCCTCATCGCCTTTGTTGGCGGGGGCAGGTGTGCGACGCGAGCACTCTCTGGCGAAAGAGGAGCTTAGTTAACTCGTACGAACGTTCGGTCGAACGCTGCCGATGGTCCTCTCTCTTGGTTAGCCACACTAAGTAGATGTAAGGAAGCAATTCCGGGTTCGGTGAGCGGGAGGAAGCCCTGCGAAATCCTGTTGGTGTGGGTGAGTGCTAGTTGTAGCTGCTACTACCCTTCGTCATCAGGCGACGGACAGCGCCGTGCTGTGCCAACTAGGCGACAAGCTTAAATGTATTAAACCGTAACAGCATTGTCGGTAGCAAGAAATAGTTGTTCACCGTTTTTATGTATACTCGACTAGAGAACTGTAAATGATTATTAAAACATAAAACAGCATTGTTCATCTCTTCTGGCAACGTTGATAACATTTGAATTTTCCTCATCGCCTTTCTAATTTGTTAATTCTCTTTCAGAAAATACAAATCCAAACATCTCTAACATCCAATATAATAATTATCTTTATTATGTCAAGAAACCAATGAAATAGTGTGTGTTTGGAGAAGCTGTCAAACTATTCTTGTGATATGATTGTGTCACACCCTCTTCCCATTAAAAAAATATGGATGAATGCCATCTCGATAAGGGTTACATTGATGAAATAGATATGAAAATATGTCCTCCTGAAAACAAAACTATACGGAACCAAAGTTTTTCTTCGTTTCCACATACAAAGTCGCACACCTAGCTGAAATGTTTCGAAATTATGCTTGAAAGTCTGAAAGTATACCTGTCAAGTTCGTGAGAGCTGCTGTACGTAATACGCCCGAAAGTTGTAGTGGTCTGGGATCTCTCCATCTCCCCTCGTAGACGTTCATTTTCCAGTTCCAACCGCGCCAACCGCTGTCTCGCCGCCTCCCAGTCCGCTCCACTTCTTCCGACTTCCACTGCGGCTTTATCAAGCTCGGCCTTGGATTTGCCCAGCTCTGATTGAGAACTTTCCAGTTTCGCTTCCAAACGGTCTCGGTCGTTTTGTGCTCTGGAAAAAGAGTCATCACTGTCTTTTCTGCATGATTATTCATCAAGGGGAGAAAAATCTAGAGACGGGGGGGAAGGGTAGCTGAATTATTTTTGTTTTGGATGTTGGGAAAGAAAAAGTAGTTCACCTATAGAAAGAGTGCAACCAGTTGTTGAATTTCCGATATTGAAGGCATTTATCTCCACTTATTATTAATTATATCCGTTTCAATAAGTTATTCACAAGTAGCAGAATGTTAAAGAAATTGAGTAAGAATTGGAACTCAAAATTGACAATGAGAAAAAAAAAATATAACCAGCTGTTTCATTAACGAACTTTCAGTTTGTAAGCCATGAACAAACGCAATTTTAAATTGTGCTGTACGTTTCATGTCATGATGTAGTTTTAGTTACTGAAATGGAGATTCAAAAGACTGTTTCAGTTCCAATGTATGGGGGCAGAGTATCCGTTGGACGAAAGGAAGCCTGAAATCGATATGATATCAGATATATATAACCCTTATTCACATCATACTGAAATACTTATACTTTTTGAATCAGTGGTACTGGTTTAAGGGCTTTTTCAGTTACTCCAACTGAAATGGAAAGCATGAAAACATGTATCGATGATGAGTTGAAAAATACTAAATCCTGCAATAGATATTTCAATTTTCTGTTATTCCCATTACGTAAAGACCTTATACAATTGAGTCGAAGGGTGTTTCACTAGATTAATTTCAGTAGCAGCACATATTTTCACATTCCCAGTTTCATACAAAACAATGTGGAAACTACCGAAGGAAAGAATAAAACAATCGAAAATGAACTTGTCACAAAGATGTGTAGATCATGCATAGAAGTTACATTCGGATACAAACTCGAAGAAAAAGTCCTCCCAAAACAACTACTTTCATATGAATGATAAGTTATACAAATGTCACTTTTTCCCATTCAGTTCTATTCAACCACGTTCGTTGTTGAATAGAATCAGATATCATTCATAGGAATGCTACACAATATAACACGTGAAAGTTACGATATAAAATTTCACTTAACATGGAACACTATCATTCTCAATGGTGGACCAATATGGCGGAATAATGGCGGAATAAGACACTGTTCAATCACTTCATCAGCACTGCTCTGGATAACATCAGAAGAAGCAATTTAGTCGTAACAATAAGATTTTATATCACGGAAGAGTCGAATCCACATATATTAAATGATAACTTATTGCAGTAGCACCATTCTTTGATTTTGTTGATGTTAGCTGAAATGGCATCTTGAAGGTTAGGAATGTTCTTGTTGTGCCATAATGAAGTGGTGTTATCAGCAAAGAGAGTATTTGTGGCCGTTGAATTTATCAAAGCTAAGTCATTTATGTAGATAAAAAACAAAATTGGGCCAAGGATCGATCCTTGTGGTACACCACATTTGATAGTTTGAGCAGAGGAACACTCGATTGTTTTAACTACCTGTTTGCGACCTGATAAGTACGAATGGAACCAGTGGAGAGTGTTGCCTCTGAAGCCATACTGTTGCAACTTATTAAGAAGGATCTCATGGTTGACACAGTCGAAATCTTCCGATAGATCACAGAACATAGCAGTGACTGCTTCTTTAGCGTTATATTCGGAGTATATCGTTTCTAACAGAGAGAACATAGCATCATTAGTACCCTTATTTGCTTGGAATCCAAATTGCCGAGGAGTAAGGATGTTATCATCAATGCAAAAACATAAAATTCTGCTTTTCACTGGTTTTTCTATGAGTTTAGCAAGGGTAGGAATAAGTGCTATAGGCCGGAAGTTGGAAGGGTCATCATTGGGTCCACCCTTATACAAAGGGATTATCAGAGATGTCTTCAGAAACGATGGGAACTCGTCAGATTCAAAAGACTGATTTATGAGTTGTGATAAAACCACTAAGGTTGAATAAGGTAGATTTTTAAAAAATTTTAACAGAAATATCGTCTATACCTTTGCTTTTCTTGTTTTTGATATTCGATATATTCTGCCCTTGAAAGAAATAATTCAAATGAATAAATGAACCACAGGTGAATGAAGAGCATCCGATAATATTATTTGGAAAACCCAACCGACTCATTTCTGCCTACTAAGCTCTCATTGCGCAATGAGAAGAAAAAATAAATCACTTGGGAAAAATAATGAAGTGTATGAAAAGTGTCTCAAATAATATAACTATTGTATCCATGAAGTTTTTCATCTTGATTTTCAAAATATTTTAACAGTAGAGAACAAAAACTATCGAATTCAATCAATTTCCTACCTTTCTAGCCTGGCAGTGAGTTTTTCAACTTCGCTGTTGAGGCCATGAATCTTCATTTTGTACTCAGCGATTTCTCTCTCGTGTAACTCCCTCTCTTCCTGTTTTTCCTGTTCAGCACGATCCCGTTGTTCTCTCAGTTGGCTCATTTGTTTTTCCTTGTCGCCTATAGCTTCTTCAAGAGACGAAAGAGCTCCTTCGGACGAGCAGTGGTGAGCTTGCATGGCAGAGAGTCTAGCTCTTGCCATGTCCACTTGATTATCTTTTTCTTTGAGGAGGTCTTCCAAATTTTCAACCTGGAATAAGTTCATGTGATGAAAGCATGAAAAAAGTATTGAATATCATGTTGGGTACTGTTGTGCCACCAGTTATTTCGTACAGTGCTATTAGATATATGTCATAGTTATTTTACGAATAAGTTACAAGCATTAATTCAACTCCACCTGTTAGTATGTTGATCAGTTAGTGCGCGAAAAATAATCGAAATTGAATTCTTAGCCCTTCAGTCATGAGATCATAGCAAAACTATGAATTGAATATAGTGACAATGATGAATTATAATCAAAGATAAAAATATTCTGTGATCATTTCACTAGACTCAATAATTTGTGCTGAATCAACCTTTCATTATTATGTTTACATTAACTTAATACGTTCCAATGAAGACTTGTTTCTGAGTTTTTTCATTATTTCATTTTCTGTATATTTGAATGAATCATTTATGTTCATTATTTATATTATATTCCTGAATGTTTGAAGGTGATTGCCAATGTTTCGTGATAAATTTCATTAGTTTAGATAACTGAAGTCATCACCCGAAGACGATGGTGGATACTTACAATCGAGACGTCGTGAAGTAACTTGGGTTTTAATCTCCTAAATTTTAAATTTTATTATCAATTAGTTTTCAATTGTTCTATTTTTCACTTATATTTTATTCTCACAGTTATTTAGTAATTTCATTTCAGGGTTTTCTTGCTTGATATAATTGTTATTTTCCGCATTTTTTTTCAAATCTTTTTTTTTATTAGTTCTTTCAGGGATTTCAAATCATTTTATATAGTAGACAATGGAAGTCCGAACTAGTGAAATTCAAAATGGATATGAATATACATTTTCCAAGAGAATTTCATTAAAGGGCAAGCTCTTTTACCAATCCCCAGACATGCAATAATCTCCTCGACGCACGTTTCACAATCCAAGCTGGTGGTTTCTTCTTGAGACGCCAGCTTGGTTGATAAAACGCGCGTCGAGAATAGTATATTGCAGTTCTAATATTTGGAAAAAGTGTTCGTTTCGGATTTATCCTACCAGATAATTGCGTGACGGTATTTCATGCTGAAGGAAATGAAATTCTATCGAACTGGCATTCTGTGTGAGTTATATCCGAATGATTGTGTTATTGGGAAACAGTTCGCGACAAGAAGTAGTGATGATTTTGATTGTCTCTGAATACATTTTGTTCGCCTCTGACCTCAAGAGTTATTTTCTGTTTGTTAGGGCAGAATGATTCTTATCGAAAATAATAGAAAAAATGAGATGTAATTGTCTAATATTCATCTTGAAGGAAAGTGTTTTATATTCTCAACAATGAATATATCGATAGCAATATTGAGCAAACTGTAGAACAGGATATTTTCAAAAATGGGATATTTTCATTGGGCTATAACGACCCAAAGACTATAAACTTTAACGGCTCCAGTTAACTATGTATAAACCGCTTTCTGGGTTTGTTGACCATGGTCTGCAGGTTTTTATGGCTGACATTTTGCGTATAGCTGCAGTTGATATTATGACATTAGATGAATATCGTCTAACACAGTCCTAGGCGGAAATTCAGTCCTAAAACTCTGTAGACCACGAGCAACATACTCTAAAAAGTTCGATAACTCTAGTATGGCCCACTCTTATAGCTGAGTGACTCAAAATCAATAGGGGAATATGTAACAAAATGTCTGCAATCATATTTTCACTGATGATTCTGTATATATTTTCTTGCTTTCTATTTCGCTTTTGTATAATTCGAAGGCAAAGACGTGAAAAAACCTTTCAAAAGTTTTCAATGCCAATTTGGAAACGACTATACTGTTACATCAAGCAATATTCCGCTGTGCAAAAAAGAAATGTTAGCGTATTATGACACAAAAACTGCAATTGCTTCTTATCGTGAACCGCCATCTTCAATCGAATTTGTGTTGTTAATCCTGGAGTTGTTAACAAATTTATTATCAGTGTATTTACCTTCATTTACTTTGTGGGATGTTTGCATTTTAATAAATATGTAAATGCCGTTTATAGTCTTATCCATTGGTTTTGCAGTAGTTTTTTGAAACTGAACTATTATCAAACTTCAATCGACAGTAAGTATATATAACTTCTCATGAGAATTTTCTTGAACTCTAAAAATGTATTGATAACCTACATTTTCACTTCTCTGTGAAGAACTATATCCGCAGATTTTCTTTCAATTTGATAATACTAATAATAAAAATTAGCAGGGATAACCACCTGAAGCCTTTGGGGGAAAAACAGTTTCTTCAAGAGTGAGCGGTATGAGTCACATTTTTTCAACTTTCAATCAGCGTAGAAAAATAAAACACACACTTTATTGGCGAATATTTTGAAACCACTGTCTTCAGTTCGAATCGATGCAATTTTTTTTCTGGTTTGAGTTACCTTTTCATATAATAACCGAACTTGAAGCAAGTGTCGGTACCTATTTCACGGAATCTTCTTTTCAACTAGTGGATGTTGATTCAGAGGTATAAGGGAACATGCAGCTGCCATTTTACAAACCTTCTTGAAAGATGACAGTCATTGTTTGGGAACAAATAATGTACCCACATTTACAAAGTAATTCTCTGTAATTCCATTGGCTTGCATTATTCCTTAAACGCATTTGGGTTCAAAAACTATCATGACCTAAGTAAATAATTACTATTCATCAAACACTCTTGATTGAATTATTTTCTGATTGGTTACGAATCATATTTATTGAAAATCCAACAATGACTAACAACAACAAATCTAACAAATATTGGTCGAAAGTAAAGTTGTAGCCACAATTTTCAAATCGTTCAAAACACGATATTGTAGAGTGGCAAAATTAGACAATTTTGAATCGAAACTGCTGTTTTCAAACTAGATAGATGAAAATTGATGGCTGGGTCTTAGGTTCAAATTTTATGACAAACTCAATGGTCAATACCGCATATTTATTTATTTCATACACTATTCTACAGGATGAATCCAATTACAGAATAGGGAGTAACAGTGGCATTTACAAATATGTACTTACATAATATAATTTGTGAATCTATGTAAAAAAAAATTAAAAACAGAAATGTCAGTTAGCTAAGAAATGTTTTTTGATTTGTGTAATCTGGCAGTTGAATATATCTTGGATATATCTAGATGACTGTTTAGGAACCCAAAATTTCAACATATGTTACAGTTGAGAGCAGGTGATGATATTGTTTATGACCTTGGATAAGAAAAGAAATGAATAATATTTACGCCTTACCTCGAGACTACAAAAATTGTGAGTTACAAGCAAATCATAATAGGGTATTCCTACAGTACGATACGTGCTTTCAAGTTTGAAAGACATATATTTGAATTATATGAACCTGATAGTAGGGACTCCACACAACAGATGCATATTCTAGCCTAGATAGAACAAAAGTGAAATGAAGTAATTTCAATGTTGAAGCTTTTTCGAAGTATTTTGTATTTCTAACTAAGAATCCATACATGCGATAAGCTGTTGTAGTGTCAATATGTTTATTGAAAGAGAGGGATGAATCAAAAGTAACACCTTGATCAGTGAGTGTGTCAGGACGCTTCAGAACTTGATTGTTTATGACGTAGTTGTGTTAATTCAAGTTTGTTTTCAGTGAGTAAGACATTACATTATTTTTGGATATGTTGAGAGATAGATTATTCGACACCATGTAGCAACGCGATGTAGCAGGGCGAGACGTTCGCAATCATTAGAACATGTTATATTGTGATAAAAAGAAATTGACATCAATCTCAGCTCCGATATCATTAATGAACATATTGAACAGTAGGGGTCCTAGATTTGATCCTTGTGGTACACCAGATTTGGCTATATATTCGATCATTAATGAACATAGTGAACAGTAGGGGTCCTAGATTTGATCCTTGTGGTACACCAGATGTGGCTATGTATTCGATAGACTTGAGGCCATCGAGTTGGACATACTGCTTACGGTTGTAAAAATACGATGAATTCACTGAATAACCCAAAAGTCGAAAGCTTGTTGAGCAGGATACTATGGTCAATTCTGTCGAACGCTTTAGAAAAATTAGTGTAGATGACATCAGTCTGAGACTGACAATCAATACTCTCTGCAATACATTGAGTGAGTGTTACAAGATTGGTGGTGGTTGAACGTCCTTTCATGAAAAAGTGTTGATTGGGGCTAATAATGTTGCTGGCATGACAATATATTGTCTTCTCAAGAATCATCTCAAACACTTTACAAAAGTTGCATATTATAGAAATTGGTCTGTAATTTAGCTCCATTTTTGTAAAATGTGCAGATTTTGGAAATTTTTCATATTGATGGTACAGTTGATGTTTTCAGGCATATATTGATCATCGTTTCAGAGTAACAGTATGTTTTCCAAAACTGTGCATTTTCTAAAAATTGCTGTAGCTATTTTCCTGTCATTTTTTGTTTTTATGACAATATTTCGTAGAACTCAATGGTGTGAAAAAACTTATTTTTCCAAATGAGATATCAATAGTTATCGTTGGAAAACTATTTATTTTCAACGAGACACTCTATATATTCCTGCATATTTCAATAGAGCTCATAATTACTTTTCCAAACTTGTAGCACACCTCATGTTTTGCTGGAGTCAAGTTTGAAATACAGAGGTTTTAGGTTTTTTCATGTACAGTTTGAAACGCTCACGTTGATCAAGTAGGCTTTGGATGACGCGGTGATAAAACAGAAAAAAATTGTTCACTAGTAGTTGAAAAAGGCGAAGTTCAACCTTGTCCAGAGGTAAAAATCCATAGGCGTGATATTTCATATACAACAATACGGCCTAACCTCAATAAATACTGATACATGATTTTCGTCAGTGAAAGTCTTTGGTATTCTCAAAAACTGTAAAAAATTAAGTTTTGAAGGTAATATTACATATAAATATAGTTACCTTTCTTTGTAGAACATTAATCTTTCTATCCTTGATGTCCATATGCTCCCTCATCTCGGCAATCTCCGCTGCCGCTCGTCCTCTCTCCTGCTGGAACTGCTGCGTCTTCTTCTCGATGTGTCTGTTCTTCTCCTCCAGGCGCTGTTTCAGCTCCTCCACGTCGGTCTGCAGCATGTTGTAGTGCTCCTCCTTCGCGCAGAGTGACTCTTTGAGTACGGCGATGTGCCGCTGGTAGTCCTGGTGCTGCTCCTCGAGCGTCTTCATCTTGGCGCCCATGGCGAGGATCTCCTGGTCCCTGCGTTGGATCTCCACCCGGAACTCGTCGAGCTGCACAGACGAGCAGTAGCATGCACTATCCATGCGGGGTAAAAGCGATAGTGAGGTGGTAAAACTGAACTTAAGCGGCCATAGAGTCTTAGTCTCTGTACCTAGTTACAGTCTGATAACAGATCCGTCTTTGCCGATTTGCACGTCGTTCAACAGAAAACTTACTTGGCGCTTGAAGGGGGTCGCAGCGGCAGGCAGGGGCGGTGGCGCTGGCGTCAGCCGCTCTACCTCGCTCTCTAGCAGCGACACCTCGCGTTCGAGAGTCGCGATCCGAGCGTCTTTCGTGTCGAGCAGTACTTTGATGGTGCTACTAGAGGGCGAGGGAACCAGCTCCAGTTGGGTTTGAAGGGTGCGCAAGGTTTCGTTTGCGGCTTGCAACTCCTGCAGAGGGAATGAAGGAGCTGTCAAATGGCTGGCTGCCGGCTGTTCATCGCTTTACCACCACCATCGGTTTGACACATTACCAAGAGTACCGACCGAATCGAAACACCTTTAAATCGCTCTCTACCAAATCAAATGACAATATCGCTAGAGTTTTTCCTAATCTTACTCCTTTATTCGAAATGGAGTCACAGAGCATGACTTCCAAATCTAAAACCTGACCTGTAGCGCTTTTTGTGACAGAATATTTGACTTTTTCTTGTATAGTGCTAACAAGTGATTGAAAGCGGATTTGTGAACCAATAGCAGCATTCACCAAGAGAAAAAGATGGAGAGGGTAGGACTTCCACAAGTTCGAAGTAAGGAAGGCTGAGTATCTGGAAGTGATACAAGACCCCCGACCTAAAACGACTTTGAAACAATATTTAGATAAATCAAGAACATGGCGGAATAGCACTGATGCTGGGCAAAGGCATCTATGGAAAGACGAGAGGCTGGAACCAAATTTGATGTATTGGCTATACCTAATGGTGGTTGAACTCATAATAACATATGATTTTCCTTTGTTTTGTAATTCAAATATAAAATAAGTGTCTGCTATCTAACTAAATAGACTGAAAAGATTGGCTTGTTTGAGAATGACGGGAGCAATGAAAACCAAACCATCAGTAGCTTTGAAGGCACTCCTAAGTCTATTACCTCTTGTAATGACGAGATATGGAAAAGTGACTCAATTTATACGTGGAAACGTACCTAGAGATACAAGGGATCAGACAAAATTGATATTTTGGAACATGTGGAGGAATTACATGACACCATGTACATGCTTGGGATAAATATCTGGCATGAAGATGGATCGGAAGCTGGAATATATTGTGCGGGCGAACTTTTACGTTACAGCAATCTCCTCGTCAATACACATCCGTCTTCCAGGCGAAAGTGAATGCAGTTTTGTTATATTCATGAATGATTTATTCGAAACCCCAATGAAATGAGCAGGTTAATATTGACGTAGATAGCCAGAATACACTCGGAACATCCATGAGCCCCAAAGTGGCACCTAGACTGATCTGAAAATAGTTGGTATGTCGAAATAGATTGACTGTATACCGGATACGAAGACACTCAAGTCTCACATACTGATGATTAATTATTGGTCAATAAAAACCATAAAATATTCTTTCTAAAAGTACACCCGCAAATACACAGAAAATAAACTAGTTCGAATGAAAATAATAACAAGCCGCCTCTCTGGTCACTGTCCATTTTTGGGACACCTGGACAAAATAACAGAGATAAACAGATGATTCGTCATGTTCTGAGCACTAGATCACAAGACGCAAGCAATTTGTAGACATTCAAAATCATTTTCCAATGAATATGACAGTGCAGAGAGTAAAATGAGTTTTGAGAAATAATCCGTTAGTTTGATTTGCAAGTAGATAAAAGAAAAAGAGTACATTTAATTTTTGAAAGCTGTCAGAAAAGAAACTGGAAAACACGATCTAGAGATAACAATTGATGAGAGATAGAAACGTATTCGAAACAATGAAAACAACATTCTCAAATAAAGTTACCAATAAGATGAAAGTCGAACTGGTGAAGGAGAGTAGTCGACCGAAAAAGTTAGGAAAGAATACTGCAGAGGCGAACATCCCGTATTATTGGTACTTGTTGTTTGATATGAAGTATTTCGTATTACTCATTTCTTCTAGAAGCGTTGTTGTGAAGCGTACCGATAATAGTGTTGGAGTTCCAGTGTGTTAAACAGTGTTCGTGTTAGATTATTTCTGTTATTCAGAAGTATCAGTTATATTTTTATTTTGATGGAAGCAGCTTTCATTTTTGTGACAATTTATATATATTTGGACTGAATAGTAATATCCTATTAGAATAAAAGCGTTCGGATAGGGGAGAATCTACAGATTTTTAAATTCGTACAAGAGTAAAAGACGCTGTTTTTCCAATTTATGTTATCCGTAATGAAATGATATTCAAGAAAGTTTTACATCAAGTAATGTGTCTTTAACTACTTGATCTTTCTCACAAACATTTTTTAACAATGTAACTGCTTTAATAATATCACTTTTCAGTAATAGAAATTTCATCTTTGATTTTTTGATTCGAGTTTTGAAACCGTCGTCTGATGGAATTATTTTCTGACGTTTCGTAGGCGCGCATTGCTGGCATCTCCGATGGTCCGTGTTGTCACTTCCAAGATTGGAAGTACATCGGCGCGCTCCGATTGCCATCGTGATCTCCTTCGGAATGGAGCCTAGCTCTCTCACCCTTTAAACGTGTTGCTGGTCAGAAGGACAAACGAGAAACAACTCACTGAGGCTTTTAACGGTGAGAAGGTCCTAAGACATCCTTACCGCCCATCTCAATGTACCCCTACTTGGCTGGGGTAATTGGTGAAAAAGTTATTTTGCCCATTAACGAAGGATTTGAAGGAAATCCAACAAGAATATTTCTGCTATCTGATAGAGAGTCCAGAACTCTGACCTGAGAGATCTTGCCTCTTAGAAATGACCCGAAGCAGGCTGAACTCGAGAAGTTTGTGAAGAAGGCCTTCGTGCCAGACACGGTCGGAGGCCTTTGAAATGTGCACGAGGCAGAATATATCGAATATATCGGCCCCAGCTGTATATGGAGGGGTCCTCTATAGCATAATCTGTAGCTTCCCTAAGTAACGGGTTATCGTGAGTTTCCGCATTATCGGGAACTCGCCGATTCCTCGACTGAATAGACTGGTGAATGGAAGGCTGCGGATGGCTCCATTCCGCACGAACCACGGAGCATTCACTTTCATCCGAATTATTTTGTTTTCTAATTCCTCTAACTTGGAGATATTCGTCGAAGCCGTTTGTCTCCAGACGCCTGAAGCATAGATAATGGCAAGCTTGAACATAAAAACCTTGTTGATAAGGTCGAGTTTGTAATAACGACTAATCAGAGGGTACATGATTGCAATCTGCCTCTGTATTCTAGTCCACACGGTTCCGATGTTCGGCATCCAGGTTTGCCTGCGGTCTATCAAAAGACCAAGGTATTTTTCCCATGGTTGCCAGTAGATTTCCCTTCCAGAAATCCTTTTGACAGCCGGAGAAAATATAATTTTTTTCATGGTTTTTGTCTGTTCACTTGTATCTTCCAATCGAGGTACCAGCGCTCGAGGTCGTCCAATGCGCGTTGCATATAAACGACTCCGAACTCATGTCCCATAGAAGAGATTAGGGGAGCATTATATTCGGTGTACAGAGATACCTTCACACGATCGGATTTCCGGAGGTCACTGGTATATAAGGAGTACAACGTACAAGAGAGCACGGCCTCCTGTGGAACTCCAACAAAGATACTCCTTCTATCTGACAGAGAGTCCTCAATTCTGAGCTGAAAGCTCTTGCTTCTTATAAAGGACTCAAGAAGTTTGTGAAGAAGGCCTTCGTGTCAGACACGGTCGAAGCCATTCGAAATGTCGAAAGAGGCAGAATATTTCGATTCTCGATTTCTTCTTGGAACTTGTCAACACAACCGCATGCTTTCACTTTCTGTAGAAGTACCTGAGTGCCAGTGAGCTTATAATGATTTTTGGCAACGAAATTTTCAGGAGTCTCTTCAAGAGCATGTTGGTTATTGAGTCAACCTCCGGAGACTTTTTGGTCTTTGGGGCTTCAATAAATTCTTTCAGTTCTTTTGCAAAAATTGGAGGGATAGAATAAACCCGATTTTGCAGCAGAATGTCACGGTTGATGTCATTATAATCTTCAACATTGAGCTGAACCTGAAGAATCATCGTGTTGGTAAAGACCAACGCTTTATCGAAGGGGAAGTAGCACACTCTGCGCTCTTTGTGAATGGGCGAGAGAGCACTCTTTTTCGTCTTCAGCCTACGGGTGATCCGCTAAAGCTAATATTCCCCAGGATCAATGGATTCCAAGAGCTTTTCCCTTCTTTCTTTCCGGATGTACTTCGTTGGCTATCCTATTAGCCGCAATTCTGTGAAAAAAACCTTCCTTAAGCCGTTTCTTTCACGTATAAAATATCTAATCTCGCAGACAACTCATTATAGCTTCTCAGCGGGCGCTCCTCCCTAGAAATGGCCACTCCGAATGCATCATTAACCAAGAGCTCGACGTGCTCAACCGTCTCATCGAGGTCATCAGATTATGGTCAGAATACATTGCTGACATAACATAGAGTTCGCTAGTCAAGTAGACGTTTCTGAGAATCATAATGTCCAGAACGTTGGGCCTAGTCTGCCCGGGATAGTACGTAGGCCCATCCGAACCCAGCACAAGATATTTATCCCTGTCGGCATTCGCATGGAGTGCTTGGCCGTTTCGATTAGCGGCTCTGGTCCATAGTCGTTGCTTGTCAGTGAAGTCGCCAGCAGCAATTGTCGGAATGTTGGTTGCCATCAGCAGTTCATTCAGTGATTCAGGGAATAAACAGTTGGGCGAAGGGTTGTAAACTGGGATTATTTCGTGATAACACCTTCTTAGCCGAATTTTGACACCCACGGCCCCAGTTCCATATTATCAGGCATTGTCATTCACTGGCGCGCTCGTGGATGCAAGTCAAATTTATGAATGGCCGGAGACATAAGGAACCACTTC